TCATTGGAAAGAGTATGCATAAAATGTAGGCTAAACAAATGTAATATGACTAGCATGGCTAAAGATGTACGAGGAGAGAGTAAGAATGAATGAAAATTAGTCAAGATTTAAGTAGACCGCCAACATAAGCTTGTAGCTAGCGAAATAGACTGATTTGTCATTAAATCTGTCCTGTTTAATATCCAACCTCTTATAAATGAATTCATGAATTTGCATCATTTTGTAATTTCCTTTGATTTCACAGGATAACACTATTCGTCATCAAGGCCAGTGTTTAGAAATGAAACCTAATACTGCTTTAGTAAGACTTGCTAGATGTACTGGTTCAGTAAATCAACGATGGAAATTCAGTAGAAAGCCGTATCTGCCATCTATAGAGAATAATGAATCATTTTGATTCAACTTACTGTGGAATGCTTCTGAGATCCATCCCGTTTTCGCGCATAAGTACATATATACTAATGTATTCATGATATACATGTCTTTCGTGGTCTGCTGTCTATCAAGCAAATATTTTCCTTCCAGAACAAGTGAACAAATGATACTCTCCTATTGTTATTCTTCTTTTATACTCCTTGTATACTCATATATATGCATATATATATTTTCTATATGCATACATATATATCCATGCTATATATGTGTGTATATACACTGAAACGACATATCAGCCTTACTTACTCACTTACTTACTTACTTACATGCCTTTGTTTTCCCTTCTGATCTGTGATAAGATTTTTAATATTACAAGCATATATGTATGTATCTAAATGTGAACGTTGGAGACACATGGACAATGAGTTAGAGGTGATTTTGTCCTCCCTAATATATACTCTTTGTATATACATACACATGTATTGTTTTACTTGATAAGCCAGAATAACCTTATGATGAATAGTGTTCAAATGTGTGTGATTGTGCCTGTGTGCGTGTGTGTGTATGCTTGGTATGGGCATCAGCTTATTACTAATATCATCATTATTTTTATGTGCCTTTCTCCTGGTGATTTGGTTTGTATTTTTATTTAGCGCATTGCATATACATCATACGCTTAAGGAGAATGTAAACACATTGCTCAATCTTTTGTGTTTCTCACCTCTTTCTTTTCCTATTTTTATGAAGGGATTTAGCCTGTTTTCAGATATTTTTTCCACGGTTTTACAAAGTATGAGTTGACTTTCACTGCAATCCTTTTTCTGTGCTCTATATTAACATAGATGTGAATATCTATAGAAATAAATATTTTGTCTACTTTGAGAAGCGTCCTACTTTCCTCCTTTTTATTTCACGTCTTACTGAAGAAAACTTTAGGATTTCAAGTGAATTTCAAGGTTGACTATGCATGTTGTGCTGTATGTGATATAGTGTTGATTTCAGTTCAACCTCTTTATTATTATTATTATTGTTATTATTATTATTTCCAAGTCATTATTTTTCTTTTCTTATGAATATATATCTGTGTGCCTTCCAATTGCAAATGCAATTTGTCGCTACAACAACAGCAACAACAACAAGAAAAAAGAAAGTTTTTACAAGATTATCACCTGTGTGCTTTTCTCTCTCTCGATATTTTTATTTGCTGTAGAAAAGTTTGAACAGTCTGTGTTGTCAGTGCAGCTGGGTGAAAATTATGCATCATAGTGTTTTGCTTTTATCCATCGGTTGAGTTAAACTAAGTTTGAAGTGATTATTCACCTTCTACTACAAACAGGATTTAAAATGGCAGTTGATCTTTGAAGTTGGTAATCTTAGGACATTGGAATAAATCGAACAAAACAGTAATATTACGATGTGATTCCTGATACGTAGTCACTTGAATATTTGCAACATGAAATTTCTGTTCGTATTTACACATTCTGGTTGTGTGTATAACCATACGCATACAGTGGTATCAGCCTTAATGGACTGATTGTTGACGGGATCTCAGCACGTATACAAATGGTTTGTTTGTTATTTAGCTACTAAGGTCATCTCCGAGTTAGACATGATATCGAGGTATCGATGAAAGGACGTGTATACTGCTGAGTAGCTCACTCTGTCCTCCTTGATGTCTGTGAGATGTGGTCATTGAAAGTGAAAGTCTTGAAGAGGCTGGTTGTATTTAACCACAGATGATTGCGTTCTATCTCTTGTATTAGGCAGCATGACAGGTTGTGCAATATTGAGGTTAGACATCGAGTGTTGGGTGAGAAGAGCAGGTCAGTTGGTGGGTTTGTGAAGTAGCAGTGAATGAGATGGCTAGGATGTGCATAGCGCATGTCGAGGATTGGTCAAGTGAAAATCTGGCATCAATTCATTATTTCTTCGACATTTGATTTGAGCCACTTGGTGAAGTTTGAACTGCTTGGTTGGGTGACTGGTATACTGAGAGTCGATGGCTGTAGACAACTGGCGATATGACTGACTGCAAACCGTTCGCAATGGCGCAGATGCACTCACTCATTGTAATCTCCTAGATACATGACGTTCTCATATTTTCCCATGGTGGTATTCTGCACATTATAGTTATTTTGAAGTCTTCGTGTTTTTGCAGAGACAATGTGGTGACTCGAACTGCTGCACATCTGTGCAAAATCTATGCTGAAACGTTGTCAATCAAAACGAATATAGATTTGAATGTAGAAGGTTAACTGTAGGTAGAAGTAACTGCGTGACTGTACAGTCTTTAACTTGACACAGCCATCAGTGAACATAGAGTTGAAGAATGCTTAGATTTCAGCAGAAGCGAATTTCAAAAGTCAATGTTTCCTCACATAACATACTGCCATAGTAATAAAGTTCCAGGAGGGGAGATAACTAAATGGAAATAAGAGTTGAACGCTGAATCGTTGTTCATCGAATCAACACTCCAACATATTCAGTAGGAATGACCGGGCGTCCTACTTTACCACTATGAATCGGATGTTGAAAGCAAGAGATAACAACGTATAACAGGCGTTTTCAATCATGAACGGTTACTAACAAAAGTGACATAGGATTGAATATAGTTTCATTGAACAAGAAAGATTACGTATGAAAAGTGGAATATATTCTACAATACCAAAATGAATTCCAAAGAATTGATGATTTCGAATATTTAGATGCAGAAGGAAGCAGGAATTAACACACTATGACCATATGGCCTCCCTGAAGTGTACTAACTGCGAATTTCGCATATGTACAATTCTGTACACTGTTGAATCGGAAAGCAGTTAGCTCAAATCTTAAGAACTGTAGACGAAATGTGTTGCAGACGATGTCTCTGACTTCTTCTCTAAAGTAACAGAGACATATGAATGAAGAGTACATGGATGCATCAACATGAATCACCAACATACCACTGGTGTAAATAGTCGATTCATGATAACCATAGGTGGTTGACAGCAAAATCAACATGAGTCTAGTGTCAAGAGATAGCCTGTCAAAAGTACAGTGAATGTACATGTTACTATGTATATCATAACAATGAGGATTCAACCTACATTTGCTCAGCGTTATGTCCGATCCTAGTAGACTTCGCTCACTTTTCTGTATTACAAGTTTAACTGGAAAGATGTCATCATTGAGTTTGATATGCGTTATTACCATGTCGACTAAACACTGATGATGAGAACATATGCAAGTGAACTTTTAGTGAAACTCAATAATGCACTTCACCCATTTTCACTTCCAGACAAAAGGATGTAAACGTGCATGTCAACGCTCTACTAAGTAGACAAGAAGACAGCAATCACATTTGAACTGGGTATAAAACTTTTAGGTCAGTGCTTATTTATCTTCCGTAATTTCCCATATGACGAATGATAATGACTCTAATGAAGGATACGTTAAGTAGTTTTGCTCAATCTATGTGTATTTGTCTGTTCAGTTATTCGTGAGGAGATGGGAAATACTGAGTGTGCCACTTGTCAACTTAGCCGAAGTTTAATGGAAAATCTACCATGTCTGGGTAAAGGGAAAGCAAAATCAAATTAAGTTACATTTTTCTCGTTCGGCTGATATTAGTGACTCGATAGATAAATTATTACACTGACACTAAAGTGAGACTTGAACAAGTAGAATTTCTCGCCTATTGTCGGCTACCTGCATTATAGTGTTGTGTTCCTTATCTTACTACGCGTGTAGCGTGCTCAAAGCGACCAACTTCGATGAACCTAATAAGGCCTACACAGCTACAATCAGCATAAGGGCTCCGACTCAATAACCCTACTCATACCGTGAACATATTACTGAACAAAGTCACATTGAGGAAAGGAATGCTAGGTGGCCTACATTATTCAAGGCCAGCCAACGACAAATACGAACTTTTACTGCTGTGGGATAGTTCATTTGTAAATGACGGAAAATTCCAGCAGTTTTCAGCTCATTTACTTTGTGCCAGCATTTGTCCAAACAGTTAAAGTCTTGGGATGCAATTTCTGACTGTTGTTCACCTGCCTGGGCTAATGAAGTCAGTTCCTGTTACATACAAATGTAGAAAAACTTCTGGGTGTATAAGTTATTTCATGCATATGCTAAATATTCAGAATTCATTCATCTATATGAAGTAGTTATCATACTGGATGGGATCTTACCGCGTTGAGATAATTATACAACAAGAGAATTCTATGTGGTGTTTCATTGAATTTTCGCTGAAGCGATGCAGTGAAATTTCCGTAGTATGAAAATAACTTTGATTTATTGAAGGACTAGAAACAAATGGTAGCCAGGGATTAAAAGGGTTTCATATTGGAAATTCGAGATTCACGTGTGTTTACTGGTTATCAAAAAAGTTTCACAATCTATATGCATATTTTTAACATTTTCGGCAGTCTGAAAGATCCTTCTACACATCGTCTTTATTTCACACAAACTGTTATGCAGTAAGTAGACGACTCATCAACAGATATAGCAGGGGTACGTGTAGGACCCACTGTTATAGGTGAGACCAATTAATGATGACATCAGTAAAAGCAAAAAAACATTTCCCTCCAACCGGTACAATATAAGCAACTGGAGCCCGTGTCTTTAAGTCCCTAACATAATTCTGGAGAGTATTACTGAACAGACAGACACCTTCAATCGAGTCCAAAGACAGTGGTGAACAGCAACGGAAATCACTACCTAAATCCACAGATTTGGGAAAGAATGGGGAAACTGTGTGTGAGACAGAAACAATGAGATTTATTGAAATATACCCAACATTTTTATATTACTTGAAAACTATTAGTAAGCCGATAACGTTACGTTTAATTTAGTGTGCAGCTCATTTTCAGACAGCATAACCAACTTATGATAATGTCAATGTGAGGTAAATGAGTAACTTTTAGAATCTGTTTGAATCGCTATGGTCAGGATTAGAGTAAATAAAAGAAAATGACTGTGTGATGGCTGCTTAGTCATCATTAACTATGTGATCGGTGCGAACCCTATACAAAT